AATTTTTTTTAAAAAAGTAATCATATGGTAATTACACCAGATAATTCACAGTCTTCGCCTGTGAATTATATAGTATAATTATCCCCTGTCAATTACACCAATTACTTATTGATCAAACAATTATTTGTCAAACTAAACAGGACAAACAATGTAATTACATCTAATTATATCAAATTCAATTACCAGGATGTCCTTCCAAACAAACCCTAAAAGTTACCAAAACATATCTAAATTACATTTGGTTACACTATTCTCCTCCACGGAGGAGTTCTATGCTTCCTTTCTCACTTGATTTCTAGTAAGTTATGAGTGACATCATCGGACTTTAATTTTTCAAAACGATAATAATGTGCGTTAAACTCCAATAAAAGGTTAGACATTTGTGTGTAATGTGTTATTACATTATAAAATAATAATACAAAAATATAATTGAGAAAAAGAGAAGACTTATTATTTTTTTTCGTGATTTATTACCAAGAAAATTCTTTATTTATAAGGAAAACTTTCTTGGTTTCAAAATAAGGATTACTAACATTTTCCGAGTAATTAATTTTTTCCAAAGTAAATATCCAAAAATAGACGTTTATTACATAATAATATTTAGAGTTAAAAGGGTTAAAACTAAACTATCTTAAGTTTTTGAGTTTCATATCTAAACTATTGAGAGTATAACTTTCTACAAGAATTTTCACTCAGTAAGTTAAACAGTCCTTGACTTATTTCTAATGACGATGTGTGCATTCTCTTTTGTTTAAACATTCTATAATATGACACTCCACAAAGAAAACTAATTTTATCATGACAAATCTAAATAAATTAATACTAAGTTAAAAATAAAGTTTCAAGGTTAAAACTATATTTATTTCACCATGACATTTATCATCTTCTTCTCCACCTTCTTAGTCGTGATCTCGTCTCAGTCTTAACATTGATTTTCTCCGACATAAAAGGGTAGAGTTTAGAATATTAAAAAATTTAATTAAAAATATATTAAAAATTAATATGTCATCAAATTAAACCTATGGTAGGTGAACGTAAATTTTATGGACATACGCCGTGAAGCATATTGAGATACCGATTTGATCTAATCAACATCTAGATGAAGATAATTTAGATATAAATTTATTTTTGACCTTAACTTTAATAATTTATATCTAAAAAAATGAAATAATTTTGATACAAATATATTTATTTATAACATAACATTTAAGGAAAAATACTGAAATACACGTTTTATGTTTCCTTTATTTTCAAAATCGGAAAAATACTGAAATACACATTTTATGTTTCCTTTATTTTCAAAATCCCCTTCTGTTTCTAAAAATCTCTAAAATCTCTTATTTCTTTCTTAATGTATTTAATGTATCAGAGCTACATGTTATTATATTCGAGTCAATATTAATGTATTCGAGTTAAATATTATGTATTTAATTTATGTTGTAGTGTATCCGAACTAGTCTTTAATGTATCCGAGCTACATATTGTGTATTCGATTTATTTTATAATGTATCAGATACTTTTTAATGTCTTTAGAAGGTACAAATTATAAGAAATTATTGTAAAAGTAGAGATAAAATGTAATTTACTCTTTATACTATGAGATTTATGTAAATTATACAAAATTTAATGACAAAATATAATAATGATGATATATTTCACTGGTTCATGAACAAAACAATTTCAATAGACATTATTCTCAACTTTTCTCTAAAAATAAAATAAAGAAAAAGTTAGAGTATAGTGTATGTCTCGAGAAAACCGAGCAAGAGGTCACCAAAAGTCAATTATGTCGACGAGGGAAGTCAACCCTACTTTGACCCCTCCCCCCCCCCCCCCCCCAAAAAAAAAAATAAGTTTATCTTTAAAAAATATTTTCAACTTCAAATTTGCATGTGTCACCCCTTCCGCCCCACCCATCCACCCCCTATTACCCCCCCCCCCCAAAAAAAAATTAAGATTGTTTTTAAAATATATTTTCAACTTCAAAATTTCATTTTTTCACCCTTATCCTAGACCCCACCACTCCGCACCCAACCAGCCCCCTACACCCCCAAAGAAATTTTAAGTTTATTTTAAAAAAATATTTTCAAATTCAATTCTTAATTTTTTCACCCTTACCCTCGATCCCCCCCCCCCCCCAATCCCCCCATAAGTTTGTTTTTTAAAAAAATTCAATTTAAAAATTATTTTCTACTCTAATAAACTAAAAGATATTTCCCCAAAAAAAATCATTCATAAACGAAACACTAAAAAAGTTTTCCCGACAATATTTTTTACTCAACAATCAAATATGAGAAAATAAGTAAAATTTATTTATTTTCTAGAAAAACATTTTCTAGATAAATATTTTCCATGAAAAACATTTTCCTTCATACCAAACACACCATAAGAAGAAGAAAAAATACTTCCTACATTTTTATTGTTCAAGTGATTTTAGAAGAAAGAAAAACAAAAATAATGTTCGTTGATTATATCTTAATTATGAAGAACATGTTTTAAAAAGAAAAAAATAATATATTTATTTGAAAAGGACATTTTTGACTCATTCTGTAACAATAGAAATATTTTTGGATCAAAATTCTATAAAGATATTTTGAATCAAAATATTGACGGTAGTAACATTTTTTAACAAAACTATAAACGGAGGACATTCTTGTTCCTTTCACATAATTTAAGGACATTATGACCTTTTTTTTCTTAAAATATAATAAAAAAACTAAGGTATAATACATATATTAAACTCTAAAGTTGACTTCAAATTTTAACTTTGACCTCCAACTTTCATAATGCACAAAATTTTAAGTTTATTTTAAAAAAATATTTTCAAATTCAATTTTTAATTTTTTCACCCTTACCCTCGATCTTTCCCCCCCCCCCCCCCCCCAGTCCCCCCCATAAGTTTGTTTTTTAAAAAAATTCAATTTAAAAATTATTTTCTACTCTAGTAAACTAAAAGATATTTCTCAAAAAAAAATCATTCATAAACGAAACACTAAAAAAGTTTTCCCGATAATATTTTTTACTCAACAATCAAATATGAGAAAATAAGTAAAATTTATTTATTTTTTAGAAAAACATTTTCTAGGTAAATATTTTCCATGAAAAACATTTTCCTTCATACCAAACACACCTTAAGAAGAAAAAAATACTTCCTACATTTTTATTGTTAAAGTGATTTTAGAAGAAAGAAAAACAAAAATAATGTTCGTTGATTATATCTTAATTATGAAGAACGTGTTTTAAAAAGAAAAAAAATAATATATTTATTTGAAAAGGACATTTTTGACTCATTCTGTAACAATAGAAATATTTTTGGATCAAAATTCTATAAAGATATTTTGAATCAAAATATTGACGGAGTAACATTTTTTAACAAAACTATAAACGGAGTACATTCTTGTTCCTTTCACATAATTTAAGGACATTATGACCTTTTTTTTCTTAAAATATAATTAAAAAAAACTAAGGTATAATACATATATTAAACTCTAAAGTTGACTTCAAATTTTAACTTTGACCTCCAACTTTCATAATGCACAAACATACACTTTAACTATCCAACCTTTTAAAAAATAAACACGTGAGACTTATCTGGCAAAACGTTGATGTTCACGTAGTTTGCGCGAGTGAGATGTATTTTGAGGCCCAAAACGGAAAAAAAATGTTGAAAATGACAACTCTACCCTTAATGATTTTTAATATATATTTTTATATTTCAAAATCAAAATCTCATTTAATTTTTTTAATTCTAAAATGACGTATAAAATATTTAATTAGTTGGCAGTCATTGAGTGAGTGACTCAGTAATACACGTGGGAGCGTTTGCATTTCACCCTCTTTGGCTCCAAAAATTGTGTGTTTATTTATTTAAAGGTAGGATAGTTAAAATGTATGTTTGTGCACTATGAAAGTTGGATGTCAAAGTTTAAATTTGAAACCAAGTTCAGAATCAATATATATATCAGACCAAAAACTAATACATCATCAAATTGCTAGAACCTAAGATAGGTGAGCGAAAATTGTATTTTGACCTTTAACTTCAATAATTTATATCTAAAATGGAATAGTTTAGAGGGCAACTTTCACATATAGAAAATAAAAAATTCATATTTGTATGTTATAACAAAGTTTATATAATTGCTCTCCATTGCAAACATAGAAACTGTATAATTCGCTATATATATACAGTTGAAGCAAATTGTATTAAACAAAGTGTATAAAACAAGAAAGAGAAAGACACTTGGGCAGAAAACTGTATAAAAATAAAGTGTATAAAACAAATTGTATTATTATAAGTGTATAGAACGATTATATACAATTTGAATATGTATAAAATGAGAAAGAGAGAAAGACAAAAGAAACTTGACAATGAATATACAATTGAATCGAATTGTATAAACGAGAAAGAGAGAAATTAGATACAATTTGAAAATTGTATAAAATGAGAAAGAGAGAAAGGCAAAAGAAACTGGGCAGGGGAGTATTTTTATTGTATAATCATAAGTGTATATGACGAAAATATATGTACTTGCATGTGTATATACAATTTTCTTACGCTTTATACAAACAGAAACACAATTTATACATTTCGCTTCTGTTTGTATAAGTGAGAAAGGCGAGGGTGGCGAGCGAGATCTGGAAGAGGGGAGAGAGGGGAACAAAAATATATGTATTTATACAATTTTCTCTGCGTTATACAATCAAATATAATTTTTATACACTTGTGTTTGTATAAAAAGTGAGGAAGCGAGCGAGATATTTGAGAAAGAGACGCCTCGCAATTTTTTGCAAACGTTTGTTATGGAGCACAATTAAATCAAACCCTAGCTACTTCATTTATTTTAAGTTATTAGTTTGTTATTATATACAATTTTCCCTAGTTTAGACATAAAAATACTTTTGGCCTTAACTTTAATATTTATAACACTAAATAAAATAAAATTGTGACAAAATATAATAATGATGCTATAATTCCACCGGTTCATGCACAAAACAATTTAAATAGAAAGTTTTCTCTACTGTTCTCCTAAAATAAAATAAAGAAAAAGTTAAAAAGTATACTGTGTGCCTCGAGAAAATCGAGCAAGAGGACACCAGAAGTCCGTCATGTCGACGACGGAGGCCACCCTTCCCACCGCCGGTAACCGCCGTTCTTACCGTTGCTACAACTGCAACGATGCCTTTCACATAACCACAACCGTCGGCGTCAGCTCCTCCTTTCGTTGCCCTCGCTGCTTTCATCGCCACCTCCTCCCTAATTACACCATTGCCAGTTTTATACCTTTTCCTCAACACTTAACTCTTACCGATTATACCCTTTCCATCTATGAATCAATTACTTTTAATTATTCCGATTCCGATACTGAATCCGATGAGAGTAATTCCGACGATCTTTCGTTTGAGTTGTTTAACCCACCTCAATTCCGTTCACCGACTCTTCAATCATTTCTCAACTCACTTCCGAGTGTGAAAATCAATGAATCATCGAAAAACTGTTCGATTTGTATGGAGGAATTTGGAATTGATACAGAAGCGAGTCAATTGCCTTGTAAGCATTTTTTTCATAATGATTGTATTATCCCTTGGCTTAATCGGAGTAATACTTGTCCACTCTGTCGGTATAAATTGCCACAAGAAGATGAGGGTGAAGATGGAGATGAAATTGAAGTGATTTTGGATGGTGAAATTGGTGGTATAGAATTTCAAGAAAATTTCACAGCATCAACCTTGTCTGAAGTTGGTGAGGATGATGATCTTAGAGAAAGGGATCTGGATGCAATGCGTGATGAAGACGGTGATATAATGATGGTTGATGCTTGAAGTTCAAAAGAGTAATATATAGACATGTATATAATTATCTTGGGTATGATTTTGTCTATAATGTGTTCTGATTTTGCGCAAAAGATCAAAATTTTAGTGGGAAATGAAGTGTTATTAGCTGTCCTCTCTTAAGCTGCAAAATAGAATATATATGTTATGTTATAGGATCAAAATTTAGTTGATGTTCGTATTTTATCATAAGTTCATATGTCGAGTTTTTTTGATGCATTCTATAGAGATTAATATTTGTTATGAACATTGAAACTCTTTTGGTGGAAGTTTACTAGAGCAATTTTATATATACATACACCCACATCGAACCCTTCTATGGCAATAGAATCTACTGTAAATTTCTGTATGGAAATTTTTATTTGGTGATCTATGAAACTTGCCATGAAGCTAGTTTTAAACGGAGAGTGTTAATTTGGAAAGAATAGACCTTTTATACGTAGAACATGGGAAAGAAATGATAAGTATAATTGCTAAGGATTTGAGACTTTGGAAACAAATACTGAATGCAGCATAGAATTGGTCATTGTTGTTGGATGTACCTTTTAATACCTGACCTATTTCTACCTAATGCTTCTGTTTGCAGTACCTAGTCGAAGAACGTGGTAACTCGTGGAAAGCTTTCAAGAGTGGTATTCAGCTGAATCAGATGCAGAAGCCAAAAGGCCCAGGTTAACTGTTGGAGTCTGCTTGGTGGCAAATGCATCAGTGTCCGTACTAGTAAATATGGGGAGTTGGTTGTTGCTATTTCCCTTGTCAGCGGGAGGGGTGTTGGGATTTAATTTTCACTACGTCAAGTCTGTAGCGGTCAACTTTGAAGGATTCCGTATGTTGTACAACTATAGGAGATGAGAAAACTTAACAGTTGAGAGCATCAATTAAATTAATTATTTGTACATACTAGTCACTTAGAGATAGAAACCTCTTCTATGTTCAACATTATTATGTTAAGCAATGCAGTGTGGTGAAGTATTTCTTCAAACTTTCCATTTAATTTTTGTAAGGTTCTTTTTCATAATATTACTTCAATCAAGAAGTATGCTCTTTTATAGACAATGTATATACTTCTTTAATTTTTTTGTTATAAACAAGAAACGAGTGATGATTCCCGCCCCATGTGTTTATGTTATGTTTTGGATATGATTCAATTGGTTCAAGTCTACGTAACAGAAGGTGAAGTCTATATGTATGGCATATACATATGGTATTCTTGGTAATGTCATCAATTCTTGAGTTTTAAGCATTCCCAACTGTATTCATTTAATCTTCCATGTTAAGTATAATCTAGTTTTGAGGTCACTGTCATTGGTATATGATGATTCTTTGTACTGATGGGTTGAATATAATCTTACATTTTGAAATTTCTAGACGGCATGGTTGTTCTGAAGATAAATCTTTTGGGTGGTAGGAATTTTGTGGTGAGACCTGATTAGCAAAGTTTTAAAAAATCTGCTTGTTTTGGAAAGTGCTTCTTGAAAAAGTACTTTTTGAGAGTAGCAGTGTGTGTTCGGCTAATCAATTTGAAATGCACTTTTGCCAATATTAAAGTAGCAATTTCTGCCAACCCTTCGTTTTCTCTGAGATTTTAGTGTTTCAATTTCTTTTTTCTCCTTGTCTCCAACTTTTGCGAAGGTAAGTTATCTGCTGCTTCAATGGAGTTCGGTGGTGGTTGTAAAAGAGGAAGGCATGGCCTTATGAATGGCAATATCGGCTTCAAGAAATCTAAGCTAGGTAACTTTTTTGCTATACTGTTTGCTGCATTTCATCCTCCATTTCTAATCTTTGTTTAGTTGCTTATTATGGGCTTCATTATTTGTTATCTATATGTGCTGTCAAATCTAGAGTTCTGCTAATTTTTCTTTTTTGAATTTAAAGATGTACATGTCACTCTTTATTGGCATTGTCTATTTATTGTTTTCTAGTGGCCTTTATTTTGATTTATTCAGTATTTTGTTCCGTGAAGCAAGGTTACACTGCTTATGATTTTCGCTGGTTTTTCCTTTGGTTTTTATTTTGTCATGTTTCGTCATATTTCTTTTTTACCAAAATGCATAATGGTGTGCATTTTTTGAGCTTTCTTTGGCTTATATATTTAATTATCAGTTGTGGTGGATGACAATATCTAAGTAGTGGTTGTAAATATAGTTTGGTAGATAGAATGCCACGCCAAAGTGCTAAGTATTAATAGTTAAATAAATTTAGAATTCGGAAGTTCTAAATCTAGTGAGTTTCTTATGAAGTATGATACTTATAAACTTACAAAGTCAAATCTGAAACCAATGTGGTAAAATATTTTATTATGATTGAGCTGACAAAACTTTGTTTTCATGTAAGAAAAGGAAGGACAACAATTTTGCTGTAGTTACTGGTCCTTTTTTTTTCAACTCCAGAAAGCTTTGTCATTCCATCTTCTGTTGTTCCTTTTTCGATCTGCTTTGAAACTTTTGAGTCGAGGGTCTATTGAAAACAACCTCTCTTCCTCCAAGGTAGGGGTGAGGTTTGCATATGCTCTACCCTCCCCAAATGGATTACACTGGGTATGTTCTGGTTGAGCACTTTTTTTTAAAAATAAAATAAGCACTTTTGACTTTTCAGAAGTTTGGCCAAACAGGCTATAACCATGATTAGACCTTTTTGTTTGTTTTTTGTTTTAATATAAAGATCAAGTGCTAGACTTCATTTTTTTTAAAAAAAAATCAAATTAAAAAAAATAAAAAAGAAAGTGCTAGACTTCATTGATTTCATGGATACATAGGGTGTATAGTTCACACTCCACAGATGCTTTTTGTAAAAGTGGTACCAACTTAGTATTGAAACTATTTACGGAAATTGCTTACTTATTAAAAGTTCGATTGAGTTCAGCTTTATATGGTTTCATTCCTCATCCTCCATTCTTTATAAGTGTGGGGGTGGCTCTATGGTGCTATTCTGAACATAGTTCTGTAGAAAAAGAAAATCATGACTATAAAATACTTTGTCCCGTTTTATATGGTGTTATTTGATTGATGTTGTTTTTGAAACGTCATGACTTATATGTAAATATTAGTAGTTGTGGAGCAAAATGTTTACAATATTGCTTCACAAATTAGTTTGTTAGAGAAATGTTACATCAAAGTTTAATTTTTTTATTGTTGTAATGAATTTCCACTTTTGAAAGGTGTTTAGAAAAGGAATGTCGCCAAACGTTCTGGAGTATGTCAGTTTTGATATTTATCTAACAAAAACTAATATTATCAAGGAAAAACAAGATCATGATAACAATAAATGTAAATAAAGTGATTGCTTCTTGAGCTGTGGATGGAGTTACTCTTTTTGTAGAGTTTTGGAAGATTGGAGCCTAAATATGCTAAAAAGTTGCATTTCTGGCAGATTTTAACTCCTGAATTTAGTTTTACTTCATGAAACCATTGCACCTATCATTTCAAATATAATTATCTGCTTTTGTAATTGCTTAAGCACATGATCTGGCTTCCATTAAATTTAAGTACTTTTTATTTGCATTATAGCCGAGGCACAAGTTTTTGTACTTCTTCTCTTTCAGGTTCATTTTGCTCAGGTTCCGCTTCTAGCTTGTTTTTCTGATCAATTGTTTAGCTTTGTATATACAGCACTGAGCTACTGCACTGATGGCAGGTTTTCACTAGGAGGGGCTGGGAAGTCAAGTATCTAATAAATAACCTAGTGCTTATTTACTCACTTTTGAGTGTGCGATCTTAGTCAGTCTTTTCTGCATCTGTTGTCCATCACTTAACTGTCCCAATCTTCCAGGTGAGAATTTTGGTCATACTCCGGGCTGGTCTCATTTCTTTGGTTTTCCTTACATTTAAAAGTATTTACACATAGACTCGGGTCTATCCGGAACAGCCTCTCTTCCTTCAAGGGGGTTAGGTCTGCATACACTCTACCCTACAGACAACACTCACTGGTATTAGACAGGGTTTTTTGTTGTATGTAAAAGTAAGATGCACACTCTCTACATAAACTTCTTTAGGCCGGAGGTCTATGATGCAAGAATATGGTACCTTATGCAACTATGCTCAGATTAGCTATACATGGAATCTATATCCAGGGTTTACTTTTCTGCTTTCTTATACATAAATAAAAAAGAATACATAATACATATCATGGGTTTAATTTTCTGCCTTGTGATTACTCTTCTGAATCCTGATTCTTTTATGTTTCTTGTGATCCATTAGGTTTGTCATTATGGTTCTGTTAGTTGTTAGCCCAGACCTTATATTTGGGGTTCTACTAGCTGTCGCTTGAAGTTGAGCCATGTTTGGGAAGTAATCAGGGTGAAAAGTCCATAATTGTAACTCTTTTACTTTGAAGAGAATGAAGGATGCTGCTCAAGGGCCAGAATGTTTTATAGTGATTGTAATTAAAAAGGTATTTTCTCTCACAAATCATATAGTCTTTGAAGCTTGAACAGCTTCTTCTGTAGGAGGTAGACTGTGTTTAGGACGCAAGTGCAATAATCGTTTGAAACATCTACAGTGGGTTGGTCAACGAATGTGTGTTGTAGTTGTAGCTTTGCTGAATGAATGACTGATTATGGAACCAAACCGGGTAAAATTTAGAGGTGATCGTGATGCTGGATTCTGAAGAATCAATGGCTTTACTGGTGACCTGTTGAAACGAAGAAGGTTGCTTCGACTTTGATTAGCCAAAGAGAGCTGGGATATTGCTAATTTCATTTGTTGGTGATATTTGTACATGTGGTATAGCTGTTATAATATCATGGATTCTGTAAGATGGTTTATAGATAGAATTTCCAGAATAGCAGGCAATTATGCAAGAATTGCTATAAACCCATGGTGGTTGGCAATTATTTACATCATTAGGAAAGTTTAGTATTTGGTTGAGATAGTGTCGTTATACAGTTATGGGAAATCTAATTAATTTGAAGTCAGAAGTTTTATTTGAATATTTAATTGTATTTAGACATTTTTTTCATAAACATGAAAATCCCATGTTGGGAAAGCTATCAAAAATTTCCCGAGTCCTATAATATCTTGCCAAATGAGCTAACTGTAGAACAATATCGGAATTTAATAAGGGCTTTAAATAAATTTTACATCTTCGTGTTCCTTTTATGAGTAAATGTCTGTGATTATAAATTAGTGATTCGAATCACAAGCTTAAAGTTGAAAGTGAGAATCATACTTATTATTGGAGCAATTTCTTATTGACTAAAAGAAAATGATAATTTTATTTATTTTTAAAAAAAATAAATTTACGGGTTTTCTGACTTTTTGGAAATAATGATTTAGAATTATATATATGTATGTATATAATTTAAAATTGGATGTGAAAACACTAATTTGAAATCATAATTTTATGTCACATGTGAAACACAAGCTAAGTATATAGAAAGGAAAAAACTCTTTATGTATCACTTAAACTTGTATTAGACGTGTGATTCTTTTTCCTTTAAGTATGCCATTGAATACTGCAACATAAATTAGAACTATAAATTATATCTTTTGATTCAAGTCAAACGACAAACATAAAATAATTGACAATGATTTATACATAAGAAATTCACATCTTCAATCCATGGATATAACTTGTTTCCACGATAGTACAAATTTTATTTAAATGATTATCAATATATTTAAATTAAATGATTACTGAAAAGTAAAAACCAACACATTAACATAACCACAAATGGTTAAAAACTAGGTCTAACCCATTGTTACCTTCTAAACTTTGACAACAATTTCCACTTAGACATTTTAACTAGGTTTTGTTCATTTTAGACACTTCATATCAAGTTTTATTTTGTCATTATGACACTTTTTTCAATAGCACATGTTGACTTCAAGTGCCTGTTAACCAAACATGTCCACGTGGATTGAATGCCCAATTACATCATGTCAACTCATTAAAAGTCTATTATATTAAAAAGAAAAAATAAGAATTAAAATACATGACAAAAAAGTAGCCAATAAATAAATGACATGTGGTCTTTTTATTCGTAAAAATTAAATAAAATACTTGCCAAATTTAAAGAAAAATACAAACCCCCCACAACTTACCAGTCATCTTCCTCATTCATCTTCTCCATTGTATTGCTCCATTTTTATTATTTTTAAGCTTTACTTTTTT